GATTATGGATCTTTTGATGATATATTATAAGATAGGTTGCCAGGTAACAAAACATACGCCCACAGCAGCTAAATCGTCCGGGCGGTCGACGCATATATATTTCTTTGTAGATAATTGGGGGCCTTTACAAGACAGTTCCATACAGATCAGATTATAAATTTTGTCGTTTGAGGGTTTACAAGGTTCTACAAACTGAAACAAGGGTCTCAACTCTGGAAGTAATCTACAGAAATTGTTGAAATTTGACAGGCTTTTTCGTTTACTAATTTAAATAATGCATATAAATTTCATACAGATCACATGATCACTCTTGTCATTCAAACGTTCACAATCGCCAGAACTCTAGAAATTATTGACGGAAATTGCTGAAATTCAATAGACCTGTTTCACAAATTTAAAAGATTCATAAAAATTTCATACATATCGGATGATAACTTTCATCAATCGAGCATTAACAAGGTTTAACAAAGTGAAACAAGGGCAATAACTCTAGAAGTAATTATTGTAAATTGCTGAAATTCAATAGACTTTTTCGTTTTACTAATTTAAATCATGCATATAAATTTCACAAAGATCGGGTCATAACTTTTGGCGTTAGGGCGTTCACAAGTACCAAAAAGTGAAACAAGGGCAATAAATCTAGAAGTAATTATTGTAAATTGCTGAAATTCAATAGGGTTTTTCGTTTCACTAATTTAAATCATGCATATAAATTTCACAAAGATCGGGTCATAACGTTTGGCGTTAGGGCGTTCAAAAGGATCAATAAAGTGAAACAAGGGCCATAACTCTAGACGTAATAAACGGAAATTGCTGAAATTCAATAGGCTTCTTCGTGTCCCTAATCTAAATAATGCATATAAATTTCAAAAAGATCGGATGATAACTTTTGACGTTAGAGCGTTGAGAAGGATCAATAAAGAGAAACAAGGGCCATAACTCTAGATGTAATAAACGGAAATTGCTGAAATTCAACAGGCTTCTTCGTTTCAGTAATCTAAATAATGCATATATGTTTCAGAAAGATCGGATGATAACTTTTGGCGTTAACAACGTTCACAAGGTGCAGTCAAGTGAAACAAGGGCCATAACTCTAGATGTAGTTAACAGAAATTGCTGAAATTCAATAGGCTTCTTCGTTTCACTAATTTAAATCATGCATATAAATTTCAGAAAGATCGGATGATAACTTTTGGAGTTAGAGCGTTCACAAGGTTCAATAAAGGGAAACAAGGGCCATAACTCTAGACGTAATAAACAGAAATTGTTGAAATTCAATAGGCTTCTTCGTTTCACTAACTTAAATATTGCATATAAATTTCACTTTTGGCATTAATGTAAACAACATATGTCAATTTTAAAACAATTGGATGGCGTTAGAGCGTTCACAAGAAATTGTGGACGATGGACCGACGGACGAAGGGGGCGACAGACGGACGGACGGGGGCGAAGGCAATATACGTCAACATTTCAATGTGGGCGTATAAAAATAATAAACCTGCGGTGTAATTCATCTGATATATTATTTCACTAATTATAATCGGCTTAACAAATTTAAGTAAAGAGATTAAATATGGTTGATCCCGTGTATCAATACGTAAAGTTTAAGTCACCAATTTGTTTAAAAGAATGTATTAAAACTGTAGCCTCTATCGCATTGACAAGATTTACGGACAAGGGGGGCAACTCCGGAACGGAATGTTGCGGAAAGCTACATATCGATAGGGCTATTCCTCTTACTACCCCTAATGCTTCATATTGTGGCATCCATCACACTAACAAGGTTTTGGCAAAGGGGAGATAACTCCGGAACGAAAGGTCGAGGAACATTGAATATCCATAAGGTTTGTCCTCCCAGCACTCCAAATGCTTCACATCAAAATTTGAAAATAAGTTGGTGAGAACTGTAGCCTCTATGGCGTTAACAACGTTGAAAATCGACAGAGATCATCCTCGCAGGGTCTGTAACCAGCACACCAAATCAGTCTAAAACTCGAGCATCTATCACGTTAACGACCGATGGAGGGACAGGGCCGACGACTATACCCTGAAACCATTTTATTAATTTGCCAATTTATAGTAAACAATAGGCTACAAAAAAACGGACTTATGATCAGGCGCTCTCACAATTATTCAGTTAGTTTGTATGTGTCTGCGTTTTTTTATCTTGTGGCACATTTTATATGTGTATAGGGAACATGTCAAATGCATCTAAATCAACCATATATATATGACGTCAATGAAGCAGACAACAAATTTATGACGTAATTCGCATACCAAAGTTGTTTTTGTGACGTTAAAGAGCATCGTAGTCTCAGTTTATGGTAAACTTTACCAGTCACAATGTGCTTAGACTTATACTTGACTTTTGCTTACGTAAGAATGGTCTTGAGAATTTTCTAGGGACGGTATTTTTATAAGTTTCTTACGTAAGAAAAGGTGAAGCATGACTTTGTGCTTACTTTAAGAATTTTCTAGGAACCGGGCCCAGAATCTGTCCGTAGTTTTGTAAATCGCATTGAAACCACGTGATTGTTTTCCACTAAAATATAAACCCACACCCACACACCCTTTCAATTAGACCTTACATTATTGTTAATACAGGTAGCTGTAAACGTCTAGTTTAGATATTTAAAGCCTAATTACAAACATTTAAACTGAAACCGTATCTATAATTGTGCACTTTACTAACAAAGATAGATACAAGACAATAACTAATTGATTACTGAAGTAAAACAATTATTGAAAAATCAAAATTACACAGTTACTCTTCACTTTAAATGTGATCAAATTTAGTAATCATCATCATCGCTATAATACATGTATAAACATCAAATTCAGTTTGTTTAACAATTTACTAGACTTCTGTACATGTACAAGACAACTCCGGTGCGGATTCCCCTGTCAGTGGTACGGGATGGGAGGGGGCTGGAAGGACAATGCCCAGTCGTTCGGACAGGGGGGGGGGGGGCAATAAACAATATTGGATTAAAAAAAACTGGACAACAGGTAAGGGGGTACATGGGTGTAGGGGGTCAATCTCAGTTGTGTGTGTGGGGGGGGGGGGTGAGGCTATTTGCCAAAATATTTATTTGTCACCTGAATTTTCTGAATGAATCAATTATTAACTAAAACGAATTTTCCGCAAAGCTATGATGGTTGTTTATATAATTAATTACACAATTATCTTTCCATGATATATGGTCGCATTTTCCATTCTCTGATGTTTGTTTGTTGATAATTAATTGTGATTAGTTTAGTTTTGTTTGTTTTCAATACCGGTATGTTTAATTTTCTGATCAAGAAAGGTCTTCACATAGGACATCTAAATGTTTGTCATTTTATAAACAAAACAGTGGAACTCAAATTACTTCTTGAAAAATTTGATATTTTTGGTTTCATTGAAACATATTTATCAGACTCTGTAAATGGTGTTTATTTATTATTTTCCTAGTTTATATAATAGTACATTTAGGTCTTCTGGCACTCTGTTACATGTAAGATAATCTATTAATTGTAAAAGGAGAACTGATTTGGAACGCGATACTCTTGAAGTCATTTAGTTTGAAATTGCTATGAAAAAGACATCACCTATTTTAATATGTTGTTTATAAAGAAATCCGCATCCAATGTTAAATGGCATGATGAATTTAAATTAATGATTGATTCTGTGTGGAATTGAGGAAGTGAATTTATCATTTTTGGTGACATAAATATCGATCTGTTAGGCAATAAAAAAATTCTTATTGGACGGATTCACTCAATTTTTACAAATTAACTCAAATCATTTCTTCTCCAACCTGTGTTACAAATTCAACTTTTTCTACGTTAATTGATCATGTCATTGTATCTGCCCCAAACCATATTATTGAAACTAAAGTGCCATGTTATTCTATATCAGACCACTTTCAAACTTGTTTTACATGGTCCAAAAGAGGGGTAAATATCCCCAAAAACAAAACATGTTGCATACAGATCCTTTCGAAATTTCGTTGAAAATAATTACATGCATGACTTACGCTTAATTAACAATGATTCATCAGTCTAAAACAAAGTACCTCCAGGATCTGGTCGGAGATAACAAAAATTCTAAACAAATATGGAATGCATTGAACACAGAAGCTAGCAAAAGTAACAGTAGGCCCCACATACCACTGAACAGCAATATAGTTAAGGACGTCTTCTCTAACGTAGCCGATAAAATACTCAATGCTCATACAGATAATACCCTTAGTAATATAAGGCTTGGCGATAATAATTTAAAAACCTATGGAAACTCTAAAGTACCCGATGGCGTATCTTTCAAAATTCCATTTATGAAAATAACTGATGTGGTTAATTCCCTAAAAAAATTAGATGTTTCCAAGGCAGTCGGTCTTGATTCAATAAATCCACTTTTTCTCCGCTTAGGTGCTGTTCAACTTTCTGCTTGTCTCACACAAATTTGTAACTTAGCAATAAATTATAACATGTACCCTTCTTTATTTAAACAAGCTTAAGTTATTCCACTTCATAAAGTAGGTACCAAAGATGACCCCAAGAATTATAGGCCAATATCAATTTATCCATATATATCAAAAATTCGTGAAACACATGTTCAAAAACATCTTAACAATAAAATCATCTAAATAAATATCATTTTTTACATGTATATAATAATCAATCAGGTTTCCGTTCATCTACTTCATGTCAAACAGCCTTAACACATATTACTGAAATCATGTATGATTATATTAACAACAATCTCCTTTCTGGAGCAATATTCTTTGACTTTAAAAAAAAAGTGTTCGACTTAGTAAATCATGATATTGTTATTGACAATAGTAAACATTTTAAATTTTATAGAAATTCAATTCTCTTTCTAGAATCATACTTAAAACACAGAAGTCATTGCACGTCTGTTAATGACATATTATCTGAAAATAAACCTATTTTTCACGGTGTACCGCAAAGATCAATATTAGGTCCTATATTATTTAATATTTTTATAAATGATTTACCTTTATACCTATCCTCTAAAACTGGCCTCTTTGCGGATGACACAACCGTCTACACCTCTGGGTCTACTGTCAAAGAATTAGAAAACAAACTTGATGCCAATTTAGTATTAGCCTGGTGTGATAAAAACCATATGATATTAAATATATCGAAAACAAAAAATATGCTAAATACGACGCAACAAAAAAGAAATACGCTCCCTGCTACCTTGAATATTAAATTACGTAATGAACCATTAGAAGTCGTCTCCTCGGTAAGAAATATTGGGTGTTTTTCTCAATTAAAATCCAACTTGGAAAGATCATATCGAGTATATCTCTACATAACTAAGCCAGAAAGTTTTTCAACTTCTTCAAATTAAAACCAGCGGCTGCCAGGCAGGATACGTCCACATTTTCGAGAGATGGATAAAGAACAAGCTAAAAAGAAATTGATTTTCCTACAATCAAGGGCCATAATTAAGGAAATTACAATTCGATATGCGCAAATATCGAAAGGAACCGAGATCTTTGGGTTATAAACTTACATTTCAAGTTGCAACAAAATCGGATAAAAATGGTGACCTCTATAGGGTCCACAACCTTGATATACCATATTTTTACGCTATTTGAGAACGGTGGGGGGGGCATTTTTTATGACCTCTATTGGTCCACAAGCTAAAAACGCGATTTTTCGTACAATCAGGGGCCATAATTCAGGAAGTTACGGTCCGATATGCGGGAATATCGAATGGAACCGAGATCTTTGGGTTATAAACTTACATTTCAAGTTTCAACAAAATCGGATAAAAATTGTGACCTCTATAGGTTCCACAACCTTGATATACCATATTTTTACGCTACTTGAGTACGAGGGGCGGCCATTTTGTCTGTCAGTTTGGGCCGATTTTCACGAAATTCGAACTCAGTCGTCCTTAGGGTGTAACGATGATAAAATAATACGGTTTTTTTTTAAATCTGATAAAAATGGTTCACAAGCTAAAAATGCGATTTTTCGTACAATCTGGGGTCATAATTCAGGAAGTTACTTTCCGATATGCGCTAATATCGACAGGAACCGAGATCTTTGGGTTATAAACTTACATTTCAAGTTTCATCAAAATAGTATTAACATTGTGACCTCTATAGGGTCCACAATCTTGATATACCATATTTTTACGCTATTTGAGAACGAAGGGCGGCCATTTTGTATGTCATTTTTGCGCCGATTTTCACGAAATTCGAACTTAGCCGTTCTTAGGGTGTAACAGTGGTATAATAATATGTTTTTTTAAATCGGATAAAAATTATGACCTCTATAGGGTCCACAAGCTAAAAACGTGATTTTTCGTACAATCAGGGGCCATAATTCAGGAAGTTACGGTCCGATATGCGCGAATATCGAAAGGAACCAAGAAATTTGGGTTATACTTATAAACTTACATTTCAAGTTTCAACAAAATCGGATAAAAATTGTGACCTCTATAGGGTCCACAACCTTGATATACCATATTTTTACGCTATTTGAGAACGAAGGGCAGCCATTTTGTCTGTCAGTTATGGGCCGATTTTCACAAAATTCGAACTCAGCCGTCCTTAGGATGAAACGGTGATATAATAATACGGTTTCTTAAATCGGATAAAAATTATGACCTCAAGTTTAAAACAAATCGGATAAAAATTGTGACCTCTACAGTGTTCACAAGCTAAAAAAAAGTGATTTTTCGTACAATCGTATAATCCATGAAGTTACAGTCCGATACATGCCAATATCGAAAGGAACCGAGATCGGAGGGTGATAAACCTATATTTCAAGTTTCATTGAAATCGGATGAAAATTGTGACCTGTAGACTGTTCACAAACAATTGTGGACGGACAGGGGCGACGACAATATACGTCCACATGAAAATGTGGGCGTATAAAAACTCAATTTAGCCCTTCTGTATTTCTCTGTGCAAACAACACATCTATTGTTGGTTGTTCCACCCGTTCGCACACATGTTGTCCAACATGACTAAGCCGAATTTCCTGATCCGTATCCGACCGACGTCTACCCTTCTGTGGCATGTTTCTGACAACGCCAACAAGTTGGTGGCACAATTTCTCTAAAAAGAAGTGAAACATAAAATTTCTATGAGCAGACTGCATATGCGACTTATAATATTCTTGAATTACATAAGCATTGTAAGCGGCCCACATGAAAAACTTCATGATTAGTCGGTGTGGCCATAATTGTGACCTGTAGACTGTTCACAAACAATTGTGGACGGACGGACGGACAGGGGCGACGTCAATATGTCCACATGAAAATGTGGGCGTATAAAAAAATATATCTTCCAACTCCGTTCCGAATCCTTTTCTATAATGCCCACTTTCAAGCACATATAGATTATTGTTCCTTAGAATGGGGCCGTTGTGACCCTAAATCTCTTGACCGTCTTTCTCGACAGCAAATAATGGCCTTAAAATTAATCTTAGATGTAAAACATACTGCTAGACAAATTGAAAATTCTGACATAGTAAATCGACATATCTCTAATTAATGTATATTTATCTATAAAATTCTGCTAAAACAATGCCCTGATTACTTATTTGACCTCTTACCTTATTATCAAACTGCTTATAATCTATGAATTTCCCTCATAATTCTAACTCCTAACCTAGTAATGCGTATGCTAATAAGCTTACTTCTATGCATGTAACTTCTTACTAACACATGTTAAATTGGCTATTTACACATGTAAAAATTCTAATTTATATGACTTATTTTTTTTAATATTGCAGTTAGAATTTGTATTTTGTTCTGTTTCCATTATTACTCTTAATTTATTGTAGTCAGTTGTGTTACTTTAGCTTCGTTAACATTTTGACATTTTACAAATGTTTAGCAGTAAAGGCGTCATAATTCTAAAGCTCATTTTGGTAACAGAGGCCGCTGTTTACAATTGTATGTTGGCTCCTTAAAAACATGTAAAATCGCACCCTTTCCACTACCCGACAGACATGACGACATTTTTCTGTCAAAAATAATAAAATATTTTACGTACAAATTTTGCTTTTAAAGCAAACTATTCTTGATAATTTTTTTCATAAATAAATAGGCTATTTTATCGTGCATTTTCACAAATAATGCACTACTGATTGTTTTGACCTATTGGGTTTCTAAAAGAATAATATATAACAAGAACTCCTCATGTCATGCATGAATGTGAATAAACTAGCTCAATTAAAAGTTATCGTGTCCCAAAGCATCAACCAATCAAATTGCTTATCTCTGCTTACCCTAAGCGGAAAATGCTCATCTTCGAACTCCATCAAGGCATTGACCTAATCAACACATACACCAAGTTTGAACATTCTAGCCCAATTAGGAAGAGAGTTATCGTGTCCCAAAGCATCAACCAATCAAATTGCTTATCTCTGCTTACCCTAAGCGGAAAATGCTCATCTTCGAACTCCATCAAGGCATTGACCTAATAAACACATACACCATGTTTGAACATTCTAGCTCAATTAGGAAGAGAGTTATTGTGTCCCAAAAAGTGTGACGGACGGACGGACAGACGGACGGACAGACAGACAGACAGACAGACAGACAGACAGACCCATTTTAATAGTCCCCTGCTTTCTTCGAAAGGCGGGGGACAATAAATATAAATCGGTAATGCTTAGTTTAGCTTATCTCTTCCCCTCAAAATTATGAAATATTCTACGCACACAAGTAAAGTATTTTTGATATCATTGAAGTAATCTATATCGGGCCAGACTTCCAAATCATCGGGAGTAGGAAGAGAAAGTTCCTCGGGTTTTCCGGCGGGTTTTCCACCTGTCAACGCCCCTGTCCGTAAGAAATCCCCTGACATTGCACACTTCATGGCGTATGCCCGTCTTCATTAGCACAATCGGTGCATAACAGCAAGACGCTAAACTTTATTTCATTTCCAAATCACCGGTTTTGTGTTAGGGAGTAGGAGGACTCTTTGGGGATTGGGCGAACGATTCACTTTATTGATTTCATTCTATAGTTTGGTGTCATAACTAAACGAATTTAAACTTGGTAGAGTTCTACATTGTTTACACCGTCTCAAAGTCCAATATTATGCTCTCGTTGAGGGGTTCCGGAGTAATTATCACCAACCCTCCCCTCTTATATTTCAATGTTTGCATGCCTATAAATTTTGAATCAATAAATTTATACCAATAATACTTGACAGGACTGCAAAGGTACATAACCTTAAAATTGATTATTCAACATAGGGTAGGATAGATAAATATTATGCTTTTAAGATTTTGCATCCACCCCTATGTTCATGTACACGTATTATGCCATCAGCCCTGTCCGTACATGTTTCTGCAGGTCACAATTTGTTATCCGACATTGCTAAAACTTATACTATATGTTGAGATCCCAAAGGTCGGATTGGTTCGATTTTGGCACTTATCTCACGATAACATTTTGGATTATAGCTCCTGATCGTACGAAATTCGCACATATCTGACCATAATTTCCTGGATTTTTGCCTCTGGTTGAACGAAAATCGCGTACATAGCTTGTGCTCTACTGGCGTATTTTCAGATTACTTTAATAATATCAGAATAATTTACTTTTGCACGTAAAATAGTTTATTTTTCTTTCGAGAAAAAAATAGCCTTATTTTTCTTTCAAAATTGTTGAGAATGATTTACTTTTGTACCTATATTTGAAAGAGTCTTATAATAAACAGCGCCACCTATTACCATAATGAGCGTTAGAATTATGACTTATCACAACGGGTTAAAAGGGAGTCATAATTTTAACGCTGTTAACTATATGGTGGCTCATTAGAGACACGTAAAATCTCGCCATATTCATAACCCGTCAGACATTTTTCTGTCAAAAATAATAAAATATTTTACGTACAAAAGCAAATTGTTCTCGATATTTTTCAGATGAATAAATAGGCTACTCTGTCGTGCATTTGCCCTAATACGGCCATATCGATTGATTTAGCCTCTTTTTTTGCAATATTCGTTCTCGATATTTTTGAGAGAGCTAATGGGCTATTTTTTTTTCTCTATAAACAATATCTAATT